GCTTTTATCACAGCATTACCGCAAGATATACACAGGTAAACCCACACATGCAACTCACCCTGCCACAGGTCAACACAGGCAGATTTGACTGCTTATTCACAGGCAAGCTTCTGACCAGCGTTAGGTGCCTCTGCAGACTTCCTAACTGATCTCAGTTACAACTTACAACTCAAATTAAATGACTGCACAATGCAATAGTTAGCAAGACACAACAAGTGGGAATGAGCAAATGACTGACTCATGTGTCAGCCTCACTGACGTAAGACCAAGGTGAGCTCATGACAAGGTCAAACACTGAATTAGACACAAAAAACCCAAATCAGCTGTGCTGCATGGAAACCCACTCATCTAATTACAAAGTAGCCTAGAAAGGGAACTTTCCACAGGTCACTGAGCCATGAAACAATTATTCCTTAATATGTGCATTTCCTAAATCATTAAGATGTTGATAGAGAAAGACAGCCTCGGTATACAAAACTCTTTCCTCTCCCTGCACAGGCTCTAAGTGGAAGACTCTGAAAAGTTACTCTAGAAATCCACATAGGTAAAAGCAGGACAAGTTTAATAGGGGAAAAAAGAGGATAACGCTCTAATGATACCCGTGAAAAATCCACACTCCTAATTATATATAACAAGAAAAACAGAAGACAACATGTCAGCTGATAATCCCAGGAGGAAATACTAAAGGCAAGGCCATTTCAAGCACTCCGAGACTACCATGCAAATGGATTTCAGTGTATTTGTAGATATACTCATTCATAACCACCACATTCAACCATAGCTTAAAGCTAACATAGCACAGAGTGACTTTGTCAAGTAAATGATGGACGCCAGGTAGCTGCTGGAAATATACTTGAGCTGCACAATATCTTCCATTACTGGGGGCATTTTGCAGATTCTAGGCCAAAATCCCAGCTTCACGTGCTGGTAATGACCAAAATAGGCTGTTTCTTAGGCTTTTGCTCTGCCAGAGAGCGCTTTAGGATACAACTTTAGCCCTACAGATGGGGCAGAGAGCAGGCTTATCTGCTGTGCATGCTGCATTTCACATCCACAAGCAAAAGCTTTCATGTACCATCATTTTTACAACAGCCATGCCGCATCCGGCCAAAGGTCCAGTTGCACAACAGTGCAGAAGAACTGTTCTTCCACACGTCTAGGTCTCTGGGCAGGAAGAACATCTTGGAATAACTGCTCTAACACATGCCTGCAGACCTCCTGCCTAACTTATAAAGCACACGTTTTCAGAAGTTCAGGCTATAACTACCATTTCACTTCCTGCTTAAGGAGCAGGAGAGAAGGAGCAGGAAGTTGTTAGTTGCTAGGAAATATTTATGCTGCCAGTGTTGCTAAGTTTGAGGTCTGAGAAAACACTGAGAACACTACTATATAGTCTGTCAAAACTAATCATTTGCTCCTAGGTGTCAAAAAATTCTTTTGCTTCCATGTGCATCACAGTGAAAACAGTAAAAAAATTCAGGTAGCAGGCACTGGATCCCTCCATTTCTCCTCCTTCACCTGCCTTTATGATACATGACAGTACCTGACGGGTACTTCATTTCCCACCTGACTTTCTTGTACTCAAAAATAAGCTTTTTATGTATGTTTCTTCTACAGATGGAGGAGGAGGAGAAAAGAGGATGCAGGTACTCAAATGGATCCCACTGCATACTGAGAACAAAAGCCATGGGATATTTTCCCAAAGTTGTCACCCAAGAAGCCAATATGATGCCCCCAGGAAGGTACACATACTACAACCTTTGAAAACAATAAAGGAGAGAAAGATTATTTAGGAAAACTCATATAACTTATTAGACAGAAACCTCCTTTTCCACTCAAAATACTTTTGCCTCCCCAAAGAAAAAGCAGCCCATCACAAAAAGAAAAGAGATCTTCTCTCATAAAAGTCAAATGACAGCCAGCTTCGGACAAAAGACCAACAGGAGCATCATAACCATCAAGCTGAAACAAGTGCTGCGCTTGAGTTCTGCAAAACACCTCAACGACCAATCTTCCCTACCTGCAAAGAGCCAGCCCAAAGACAGGACAGCCGGCAGTCAGCTCTTTGCTCAAGCAAAACCTGCAGCGTAAACACCTCTCCCCTAACAATAATGGCAATCCATCGTGTTTCACAAACATTAGATGGAACCTTTGAGCTGTAATAAATTGCCACCACAACAATCAATAAGGGAAAGCAATTAATAAGGGGGTTATTTTAGTTACTTTCACTACGGCAGCCTATACAGGTGGAAGGAAACTCCCTTACAAAATTGGAGCATCACAGGAGATTGATGGCTTTTTTTAAACACAGCGTATTTAGTAGGAAGACCACGCAAATCTCAGCAGTCACATACACATGCCAGACTTACTGAATGGAGAGAGTTGGACCTGGTAAATCTGTAGTCAGCACATTTGGAAATAATCTTAAGAGAATGCTGGTCTCTACTGAATAAAATAAAAAGGCCTTACAATATAGGGATGTAACCAATTGTTCTCTAGGCCTAGGCAGTTAAACAGGCATTGAATAACACTAAAAATGCTCTTTCTGTAAAAGGTCCTCATTCCCAGCCTGCAGAAAACTGAGGAAGAGGCAGGCTAGCTAGTGAGGTGCTAGGCTGTTACCGTGCATTGACATTGTTTTGCTATTTATGCTCTCATAAGTAATGGGATTTGACAAGGATAACCTTCTGAAAACAACTGAATTACAAAAGAATCTAAGTCTTAGCTAACACACGTTTTGGTTTTTGCAGCTTGTAGAAATCCAGATTAATTCTCAGTCTAAGGAGATAATCTTGTATAACCCTACCCTGAAGAGATTAAAGTGGGATATCTATTGTCTAAAGAGAACGGAATTGCATCACCCTCTTTCTGAATATCTCAATTTGCATTTTACTGAGAACTGAAAGTTAGCCTCCATCCTTGCAATGGATCAGATATAAATCTTACTAATTTGTTTTCTTAAATTAAAAGTCCATTTTTTCAAGTTCAATCCAGAGCAATGTATAGAAGCGCACCTACTTGAGGCAATCCAGATGTTACAAGTCTTCTGACTAACTTCAGGTAGCTTGGATCACCCCAGGCCAAGAAGCACGTTACTTGCTTCACTAGCTCCAAACTCCTATAACACTACTAGAACACGGTCTAGACCAGCATGCACAGAGGTTGGAGACGATCCCCTCCAAACACTCCCTCTTCCAGGTTTCCTCTGCACACATCACATGCGCAGCCATGTGGGGCAGAAAGGAAAACTGGAAGATTTGCTATCCCAGGTGTTTGTAACATGTCCCAGTTAGGCAGAGCACACAGCTAGAACCATTATCTGAATATGTAGAGAGGTTCTGGCAGCACCTTACAGGAATGCTAAGAAGGAGAAAGGTCACATAACCATCCAACCTGAAGGCCTGCTCTAACTGCTGGGAGGCATCAACATAAATGGCACTTGAACGCCAACCAGAACCTCCTCATGTGCATGTGTATACAGTGATTTACTGGGCTCCTTTAAGCACTCCGTTCAGTTTAGGTCCAGGTGCTTATAGGCACTTTGTCTGTAGCAATGGACCTAATCTCATCTGACTTAGGTTCCAGTACCATGGGATGCTCTAAACAGGAGAAGGGGCAGGTGTTAACAACAGGAAGAGGAGGAATTTCCAAATTCCCAGGTATTTGGGAATGGCTTTTGCACAGGGAGATGCTATTTCCTGCAAGCAGAACTGGGGAAAACATATGTAAAGGTATTTGATTAAAAGGAGGGTCATACATAATCACAGATTTCTCAGTGACAACCTAATAAGTTGGGAGTTGTGGCAGCACTGAAGGGAAAACAAAAGCTGTCACTGATGGTAAAAATAATAGATAACTCTGGAGCTTTCCCGCACTGTGCCCCTCTCCTCCACCGCTGGAAACGTGCCAGGCTCTTTCCCAGCAACAGAATTATTTGTGTAAAAACATTTTTAGAGACTACGGTATCTCTGTAACTGAAAATAGTGGCAAATGCAAGCGCTTAGTGGGACCTCCAAAACCTCAGCTGTAAAGACTCATTAACCGTAAGATTTTTTCCACATGCACAATTCTAAGCCTGACTCACAGCTCTCCTCTGATGACAGTGAGGCATGGAATTTCAGGTAAAAATTGCTTCAGAGAATTGAAATGAATTCTTACTTAGGAAAATCATGAGGAAGAAGGCAGGGATGTAGAGAGGGAAGAGGGATCAATCATTAAGTGGCTTCTTGTGAGTGATGCATCCCTGCAGTTCCAAGGGAAGCGGAAGGGGGTGGGAGATGGGAATCCATATCTTATCTGACAAATTTTACACATCAGGCTCTTACATGGTGGCCAACAACCCTAGCCTCAAGCATCAGGTCAGAGTGGGGCTCCCCTTGAGCACTTATGCACTGGGGATTTAAGCCATCTTGCAATTTAAAGGGCTGGAAACCTTCAGATTCACCAGGTGCAACTGCACATAGGGTAGGCCTCTTGTATGCAACTCCAGCTTGCCAAAGGACAGGATGGATATACGGGGAGATGCACAACTAGAAATCTCTCCCATACACAAGACACATGGAAAGATGGGGTATACAAGTCATACTCGCCTCAGAGCTGCATACCAGAGGCCTCACCTACAGTCAGTCACATGTGTATGTGTGTGTGCACGCACAACTAGGGGAGGCTAGCAGAGTTCTTTCCAACTGGATTTCCCCTGAGTACAAACTCATCAGGGCCAAAGTTTGTATTAGGAGTCTGTCAGCTACCAGCCTCTGAATCTAGCCAGTATGCCAACATACACTAGGGAGGAAGGCAGACCATCCAGCGTCCAGCAGCTCTTTCACGCTGGCATTTCTAAGCCTTTTAGAAGTTTCTGGTAACAATATTTAAACTGCAGTGTTGTGTATTATACAAGAACAGATCTTCCTTTGAACGGTTCAAAAAACTCATTGGCTTTCCACCACCCCACCAAAAAGAAAATATATCTTCTAGCAGCATTGACCGAAGTGTAAAGCAACCTGGTTGGCTTCCATGCATCCGATGGCCTCTTCCAAGAGTGAAAATTCCACGCAGACATAGCCATAGTCGTAACCTGGGAACAGCATTTAAATACAGACGGGAGTCGTGTTAGTGCCTTGTTATAAAGAAAGCCACATTTAAATATTCAATTCCCTTTCCCTCCAATGACAAACCCTCTAACCACCACCCCTCTACTCCAGAATGAAAAGGAGAGAATCGGGGACTATTTGGATGATGATTAACTGTGCAGTTTATCATGAATTTTAATAGGACAATGTTCCAACTTCCCATTACGCAACCCAACGACAGGCACATCCTTCCTTAGTGTAAGAAATACATATATATATATTTTTTTTTAAAGCATAGTGATTCTCCACGCTAGTTTCAGATTTTATACTACTTTGGAGGCAGTGCTCTCCAAAGCAAATGTTGTTAAGTCATTTAAAACGACATTGCTGTGAATGTATTTCACATGAATAGCCAGCATTTTAACTTGGGCAATGTTTCAGAAAGAACTAACAGGATTCCTTAGCTTCTGCTATTTTCCCAGTGTAAATTTAATAAAGGGGTGTGTGGGGGCAGGGTAGGGGTAAGTTTAGATGCATGAAACTAGAGAGCCTTTACTTTTCTCACTCCTCAGAAAGCTCTCATCTCAGTCAGTAGCAGAAGGGAGACACTGATTCAACTTTGTATTCCAGTTGCCTATGCTGAAACGTTTGTGTCCCACAATAAAGCACAGGGTGAACATTATCAGGAATTAAGATCATCCTAAGAGCCATCCTTGATGGTGAAAGTAGCTCCAAGAACTAATGGTCTGAGAAACAACCTGGAGCAGCAACCTCACCCTTCACAAGCCACGGCCATCTCACTCCAAAACAGTGCTTTCCAGATGATCATGGGCTGACATACTTCAACTCGGGAAAAAACAGCGAGAGGAGAGCCTCGGTTCCCTCTTCCTGATCTCTTTTGGCCGGTGAGGAGGAGTGACAGAAAAGCCAGCTTGCATTTGGATTGTACCATTTTAGGCACCTAGCTGTCCTCGTAATGGGATCATCTCCTCCCTCCTGAAGATGCACATCTTAACACGGGTACATTCAAACCTGTGAGGTGTCTTTTTCTTATCACTCCAACCCACCACCTTCCATGGGAAGCGAATTACACAAACACTCTTTTGTAGTCTCCTGGAAATTGTCCACCGTGTCCTCCAAGCCTATCCCAAAGTGCATTTGCTGCATTCACCAATTTTTCCTGCTCCATTTCTTCATCATCTGTTGTACCTAGCCACTTCAAAGATGAGCCCATACTTAACTATTTCATTGTTGAACCCTACCGTATGTTTTCATTCTGGGAGCTCTTTGCATGCTGTTCTCACAGCACAAACCTGATTTTGCACGTTTGCTCTAACTATACTCCAATTTAAATCTAGCTCCTCCTTTACATCACAGAAGATGTTATTTCCCCCTGCCATATATTATTTTTTGTCATTATATTAGAGAAGAATTTATCAATCTGTGGGCTTTTCAGCTCAGTGAAAGATGCAGGCCAGCAGCATGCCACTCATGAGGGACTGTAACTAAAATCATATGACATTTTTACATGAAGTGGACACCTGGAACTAGAGGTATAGCTTCAGATGGCAGAAGAGACAAACACAAATTAACCCAGCTGTTCCCATAGCATCCATTCTGCTCTGCACTTCCAGACACGCTAAATCACCTTTGAAAATTAAGCAGTCCTTTCCTCTGCAGATGAGAGCTGCTCCACAGGAGCAGTGCTGTCCCTTGCTGGGAGACTGTTTTGCATTCTGAGCAGACACCGCTGCTACTTTATTGCACAGTACACAGGCTCACATGGTACATTTTAAAATCACAATCAAATCCAGAACTCGAGAGTTGCTCCTCTGCCTCCAGTTTAGAAAAAGGCTGCACAAATGATATTTGTCAGCCTGTAAGACTCCCGATTCATTCTCACAGAGAGATTTCAGAAAGGTGCTGTAATCAGCAAGGTGGGATCAAAACACTCTGTACATACGAAGCGGGGGCTCTTGTGACGGAGAGCAAGATTGTAGTAGCTTTTTTTTTTTTTTTTTTTTTTTTACACTAGTTGCTTCACCTTGAGAAGCAGTTTACACCCAACTCCCAGTGAAAGGAATGAAAGTTTTAGATGTGGATTTAATCCCGCAAGATACATCTGAGAGTGCAGCCCTGAATGTTATATGTCAGATACTAGTGATCAATTTAAAAGTTGAGACACTTAGAGGAACGTATGCTGTAGGATCGTTCCAAGCATTAAATGGGGACAGTTAAGAGGAAGAGATCAGTATATTTCTCCTTGTGCACTCTCTCACCTCAGCCCCTTGGAACTCAGTCCACCCCATAAGCATAGCTGCAATAACGCATACAGTGAGAACTGAAACAGAAACTGCGGCCCATATCCTGTCAAAAGGCAGCTTCAGGTCAGATGTTCAGCCCTTGTGGTCGGGTCGCACAGGAACACAGCGTTTTGCAATTCATTGCGAGTCGCCCCTGAGGAGTTGGGACCAGGACAGTGATGCAAGAGGAGAGCAGCCGGGAGTCCAGCACCCCAAATGTCTTAGGAAGATGCGCAGGGGGTTGAAACCAATCCTGCTCCTTCCCCCACCCCCAAACCCAGCCTTTTACGTAGACCTGACAAGCACACTCATTATTTGAAAACTGCAAACTAACATAAGCCTTCGATGGTATAGAGCCCCTGCTCTGCTCCACTGCCCCAAGCTCCACAGGAACATCCTTCTGGAGAGCTCAGAATCAAGTCATTCTTTCAGGCTTTCTTTCATGTTTTAGACCACGCTAGAAAACCCACTGAAATGGAGACCTGTGGAACAGCAGGGTTCCTGCAAAACACCTTCAAAAGCCACGTTCGCAGACTTTTTCCCACTGTGTGCAATAATCATATTACCCAGAGGACAGCACTTGAAATAAAACCAAGTGACTTGAGACTGTTCTTAAGGGGGGAGGGCTACAGAGGCTCCTGCCACCAACTGTTGTGCTTCTTTCCTGCATCCTTCTTAGGGCTGGAGCAGCTCTTTGTATAGCAGCTGCTGAGCCTGGATATTTTTATTTCTGAAACCTTCACATGGTCTGCCTTAACATACTAGCCTGTGAAAATGCAGCAATTCAGCTGCTGCTAATACAAGCAGGGCAGGGAATTTTGCCAGAGGCATGGGGATAGGCACCTAATGGCAGGAACTAGTACAATCAGCATCCCAAGGGAAGCTGTCCTCCCCCCAACATCAGAGCTCTTGGATGTCCACAGTATTGTTCAGGTTGTAGTACTAAAACCAAAGTGATCAAACCGGCAAAGCAGAATCACTGCTGAAGATTACAGTATGGTGTTCTGACTCAAGTTGGCCTAAGTTCATGTGCAACGTTTCACGAGAAGATCAGATGATAAAAACCCGGTATCTTCTTAACTTGATCTTTCTTCCACTGACTAGTACAATACCACTGTTTCAGGATACACAGAAAAGTGAAATGGAGTCAGAAACGTTTTGCGTTTTGGCAGAAGTATCTGAGTACAGATTTTCTATCCCCCCCCCCCCCCCCCAACAAAAAAAAAAAAAACACCCACCCCCCCC